TAAAGCCCCATATCGCATGGCGCCTAAGGAGCTGCAGGAGCTTAAGACCCAGATTCAGGAGCTATTACGACTCGGTTTTATCCGACCGAGTGTGTCACCGTGGGGAGCACCCGTTCTCTTTGTTAAGAAGAAGGACGGATCTATGCGAATGTGTATCGACTACCGGGATCTCAACCGGTTGACGATTAAAAATAAGTACCCACTTCCCAGGATCGACGACTTATTCGATCAGTTGAGGGGAGCCTGTGTATTTTCGAAGATCGATTTGAGATCAGGCTACCTCCAGCTGAAGATTAAGGAGTCAGACATCGCTAAGACCGCTTTCAGGACTCGTTACGGCCATTACGAGTTTGTAGTCATGCCTTTCGGTCTCAGCAATGCGCCAGCAGTATTCATGGATCTCATGAACCGTATCTTTCATCCATACCTCGATCAGTTCGTTATTGTCTTTATTGACGATATCCTTATCTACTCGAAGAGTCAGAAGGAGCATGAGGAGCATCTGAGGGTGGTTCTTGAAACCCTCAGACGAGAGAAGTTGTACGCCAAATTCTCCAAATGCGAGTTCTGGCTTCAGCGAGTATCTTTTCTGGGTCATGTTATTACCCAGGCAGGCATCGAGGTGGATCCTTCTAAAGTTTCAGCCGTGCAGAACTGGTCGACACCGAGGAGTCCTTCCGAGGTTCGCAGTTTTCTCGGATTAGTTGGTTACTATCGCAGGTTTATCGAGGGCTTCTCCAAGATTGCCCTCCCATTTTCCCAGCTGACGAGGAAGTCTGTGAAGTTCGAATGGACTGACAGATGTGAGGCGAGCTTTCAGGAGCTCAAGAGGAGATTGACTACAGCACCGGTGTTGACTATCCCCGATCCTTCTCGGAGTTTCACTATCTATAGCGATGCTTCGAGGCAAGGCTTGGGATGTGTCCTTATGCAGGACGGACGGGTCGTTGCGTACGCTTCGCGTCAGCTTAAGCCCCATGAGCAGAACTATCCTACGCACGACTTGGAGTTAGCAGCAGTCGTTCACGCCCTGAAGATCTGGCGTCACTATCTTTATGGTGGACGCTGCGAGATATTCACTGACCACAAGAGCCTACAGTACATTTTCACACAGAAGGAGCTTAATATGAGGCAGCGTCGTTGGCTCGAATTGGTCAAGGATTATGATTGTTCTATCCAGTACCATCCGGGAAAGGCGAACGTCGTCGCAGATGCCCTAAACCGAAAGGTGACGGGAGACTTGACGTATGTCATTACGCAGCAGAGTCCATTGATTCATGAGTTTGCCCGGATGCAACTTCAGGCGATTGATGCACTCCCCACAGCTGTCCCGGGGAGCACTAGTGCCAGTGTCAGTGCTATGCAGCTTCAGCCGACACTGAGGGAGAGGATCCGGCGAGAGCAGGCTTCTGACGAGTTCGTGCGTGTCATGGAGGCCAAGGTTCGCGCCGGAGGAGGACAGGATTTTCAGCTAGGCGCCGATGGTGCCTTGGAGTTCAGAGGCAGGATCGTGGTCCCGAAGGCCGAGGCATTGCGGAAGGAGATTCTATCAGAGGCACATACCGCACCTTACTTGGCCCATCCCGGGAGCACGAAGATGTATCACGACCTGAAAGGGTCGTTTTGGTGGAGAGGCATGAAGAAGGACGTCGTTGAGTTCGTTAGGTGATGTCTTACCTGTCAACAAGTCAAGGCCGAACATCAGAGTCCGATTGGGCTCCTGCAACCACTGCCGATTCTGAGGTGGAAGTGGGAGGAAGTCACTATGGATTTCGTTACGGGATTACCGAGGTCGTCTGAACATCACGACGCTATCTGGGTCGTGGTCGACAGATTGACCAAGGTGGCACATTTCTTACCCGTTTCGATGAAGATGTCTCTGGACAAGTTGGCTGAGATATATACCCGTGGGATCATTCGACTCCACGGAGTGCCCGTCACGATTGTATCAGACAGAGATCCCAGATTCGTCAGCCGATTCTGGCACAGCTTACATGAGGCAATGGGCACGAAGCTTGAGTTCAGTTCAGCCTACCATCTGGAGACGGACGGTCAGTCAGAGAGGACGATTCAGACACTTGAGGATATGCTTCGCGCCTTGGTTGTTGACAGGGGTGCCAAGTGGGAGTCGCTGTTGCCGTACGCCGAGTTCGCGTATAACAACAGTTATCATTCCTCTATTCAGATGGCTCCTTACGAGGCACTTTACGGTCGCAAATGTTCCCCTCTCTATTGGGACGACGTCGGAGAGCGGCGAGTACTCGGTCCTAAGATGATCGAGGAGACAGCAGAGCAAGTCGAGTTGATCCGGCAGAGACTCAAGACAGCTCAGAGTCGACAAAAATCTTCCGTCGATCATCATCGACGAGACATTCAGTTTGAAGTTGGCGAGCATGCCTTTCTCAGAGTTCGTCCGGTTCGCGGAGTAGTGCGATTCGGCAAGAGAGGGAAGCTGCACCCTCGTTTCATTGGTCCGTTCGAGGTTCTCGAGCGA